GGCGGCACACAGCTCACCCCGCACACGGCAGGCGGCACACAGCTCCCCTTCGCACACGGCAGGCGGCACACAGATCACCCCGCACACGGCTTGCGGCACACAGCTCACCCCGCACACACGGCAGGTGACACACAGCTCACCCCGCACACACGGCAGGTGACACACAGCTCACCCCCGCACACGGCAGGCGGCACACAGCTCACCCCCACACACGGCAGGCGGCACACAGCTCACCCCCGCACACGGCAGGCGGCACACAGCTCACCCCGCACACACGGCAGGCGGCACACAGCTCACCCCCGCACACGGCAGGCGGCACACAGCTCACCCCCCACACACGGCAGGGGGCACACAGCTCACCCCGCACACATGGCAGGCGGCACACAGCTCACCCCGCACACACGGCAGGCGGCACACAGCTCACCCCGCACACACGGCAGGCGGCACACAGCTCACCCCCGCACACGGCAGGCGGCACACAGCTCACCCCCACACACGGCAGGCGGCACACAGCTCACCCCGCACACAGCAGGCGGCACACAGCTCACCCCGCACACAGCAGGCGGCACACAGCTCACCCCGCACACGGCAGGCGGCACACAGCTCACCCCGCACACGGCAGGCGGCACACAGCTCACCCCGCACACGGCAGGCGGCACACAGCTCACCCCGCACACAGCTCACCCCGCACACAGCTCACCCCGCACACAGCAGGCGGCACACAGCTCACCCCGCACACAGCTCACCCCGCACACAGCAGGCGGCACACAGCTCACCCCGCACACAGCAGGCGGCACACAGCTCACCCCCACACACGGCAGGCGGCCGCACTGTCTCGGCGTTGGGGGAGCAGATGACTCGGGCTCAGCGGGGTCTGTAGGCAGGGAGGGCCCCTAAAGGTGAGAGACAGTAACTCGGAGCTCAGGGTTCAGGTCTGGGGGGAAGGGGTGATGCCCCTGGGACGCGCCCCGCGGACAGTGTGGGGCCTGGAGCTCCCGGGACACGCTGCTCGGATCCACCACTGGGCAGCTCACTGCTCCCTGCAGCGGGTTCTGTTCAGCTTAGAGTCATGGAGGTATGAACCTGAGCGGGAAATGTGGGTGCTGCGGAGAGGCGGGCCGGCGCAGGCCACGCACCCATGGCACGCCTCACACGCCGCGGCCTCCCCCTCACACCGGCTTAGCTCCCGCAGGGACGGGGGACGCGGCACTGACCAGGCCCGGCGTGGAGGTGGTGGGAGCGTGTTGCGCTGGGGACTGCGTCTCCTGCTCCTCGGGCTCTGGGCTCGTCACCTGGTGTCTGGCTTCCCCTGTGGTTGCCATGGCGGCGGCAGCACAAGGCCGCACAGCAGCGGGAGCAGGAGGGCACCGCAGGGCAGCCGGCGTGGCAGGGCTCACGGTGACAGCACGGGTGGGGAGGCCTGGGAACGCTCCGTCCCTGTGCCACCCGGAGCGGTGTGCAGCCGCAGGGGGTGTGGCAGGGCGCACTGGGCCGCGCACGCCATGCCAGGCGGTTGGAATTATGAGAGAGAGCCACGGAGGTGGTGAAGCACCAGCTGACAGATCCGACCTGCAGCGTTTCCAGAGATGACCGCAGGGTGCACTGAGGGAGGTGCGGGCCGGACGCCGGCCGGACACCGAGAGCTTGGACGCGGGCAGAAGTGGTTTGGAGACGGGACCTCATGTTTCATGCTCCATGTTTGCACGGCTCTTTGCTTGTTGTGTAGGGCAGCGGTTGCCAACCTTCCGGACCTCGCAGACCGCTTTTCTAGGGCAGTGGTCAGCAAACTGCGGCTTGCGAGCCACATGTGGCTCTTTGGCCCCTTGAGTATGGCTCTTCCACAAAATACCACGTGTGGGCGCGCACGTACAGTGTGATTGAAACTTCTTGGCCCATGCGCAGAAGTTGGTTTTCAGCCTGGGCGAGTCTATTTTGAAGAAGTGGTTCTAACTATAGGTTTTAACTAAGACAAAACTTTAAGTAAAGTTTATTAAGTTAATTTTAGGGAATGTTGTGGAGTGAAAGAAGATGTAGTGTCGAGGATTGAGAAAGGTATGTTGAGATGGTTTGGACATATAGAGAGGATGAACGAAAGGAAATAGATGAAACAAGTATACAGGACAAGTGTGGATGGGAGAGTTGGAAGGGGTCGACCTCAGCGAACGTACCTCCATCAGATTGAGGACGTTTTTAGCAAAGGCCAGCTTAGCAGTACCCTAATGAAGTTAATAACAATGTACCTACCTATATAGTTGAAGTTTAAAAAATTTGGCTCAAAAGAAATTTCAATCGTTGTCCTGTTGATATTTGGCTCTGTTGACTAATGAGTTTGCCGACCACGGGTCTAGGGCACCGTCATCTTCATTAATGGGCCGGTGAGCAGCTGGGGAGACACAGGTGCCGAGCTGACTGGGTGGCGGAGCGGTGCCTGCTCTCCATCCTGCTCTCCAGGCCCATCGCTCCAGGAGCAACACGGTTCCTGTGGGTTGGGGGCACCTCGGGGGGTTGGACAGTGACCCTGGGAGCTCACCTGGTAGGCCCTCACCTGCCCTCCCGTTGCCGGTGGCGCCAGGGCTGTTGCTCAGACGTGGGGAGACGAGGCCCAGGTGCGCCTCCGCCGCTGGCTTCACGCCGCTCGGGTGTTCACGGCCCGTTTTCCATCCTCCAGCTTCATGTCCAGGTGGCGGCCTGCGCTTTCTTGAGGCTCCGTCCTGGGGCTTTGCAGCCAGAGCCGCCACGGAGAGGACGTTTCTGTTGAGAGCACAGTGTGTCTTCGTTTCTGTTGAGAGCACAGTGTGTCTTCGTTTCTGCAAGTCCAGCGATGCTGCTGTCAGTGATGTTCCCTGCCGTGCTCACAGGATTCCAGGCTGTGGCTTTCCCAGAGTGTAGGGAAGGCGGCCGTGCGGGCTGCGTTGTTGGCGTGGAGAGGTGCCCATCATGGGCGGTGGCTGCTGCCTCCTTAGGACCCGAGGGGTGGGCAGCCCCAGGATTGGCCTGCGGCTGGCTGAGCGGTGTGCTAACTGTAGAAGGGGCCTGGGTGGGTGGCCACACCCCTAACGCGCTGCCATCCCTGTGCCGTCGGGCGTCAGAGCACTCGGTCACTGCATGCGCCTCCCGGGCCTGACCCTCCTCCCACCCTCGCCCCGTGCACGTGCCCTTTGTCGGGGCTGCACACCGAGTGCGCACCTCCTGGGGCGGCTTGGCGGGGGGTGCCCACATGCCCCTTGGCACTCCTGAGGCACCTGCCGCGCTGCGTGCAGCTCCAGTGCCTCCGGACACAGCCCCGCTCTCCCAGCAGCCGGGCCGGGTTAGCCTCGCTGCCTGGGAAGCGCGTCTGTGCTTTTGCTGCTATTGTTTTCATCGAGTTTCCAAAAACTCTCCCCAAACTTTCGAGACACTGGGGGCGGGGCCAGATGCCCTTCGTGCGGGTCCCAGTGCTTCTAGGAAGGAGGCCCCTCTGCTGCCTGTCTCCTTCTGCTGCTGGGAAGTGGGGGGAGCTGGTTGACTGGGGGTGAGACCGGAAGTAGCAGCCGGCCTGGCGAAGGACAGCTGTGTCCTGGGCTGTGGGGGACGTAGGAGTTTTCTGAGGTCCTGAGGGCCGTTACGTCCAGCTGCCTCCTCGCCCTGCGTCTCACCCAGGCCGCCTGGCTTCAGCGGGAACCCTCTTTTCTCCATGGGGACTGCTTCTTCGGCGGCCGCAGTCCTCGGTGTGGACTAGAGGAGACAGGCGGACCCCCAGGCAGAGCAGTGAGGGCAGTGCCTTCACCGATGTTCCATGGATGCAGTCGGGAACTTTCCAGACTCCTGCTTGGAAAGAGCGGGGCTGCTGCTGGCGGCAGGTGGGCGTGTGCTGGGGGAGAGGGGGCCGTGAGGCGGTCACAGAGGGTTGCATGTGACGCAAAGCCCGGGACCATTTCCCATGTGAGAAGCTCAGAGCCCACCAGCCCGGGCGACAGGGTGGGTGACCTCCCAGGGCCCGGGGCCTGGCTCCTGCCACAGGCGGCGCGGAGTGCACCCCAGACAGGAGGTGCGGGGGAAGAGTCACCCCTTCCTTCTAGGGCGATGGCCTGGTGGCCTGGAGCACCCGCCGGCAGGCCTGGCACAGCTCATCGCCGGAGCCAGGTCACGTGGCCACCGTCCCGTAGGCTGCTGGACGTGCTGCAGCACTGCCCGGGGTGATGGGGTCCTTAGGGAGCCCCTGGGAGCACACGGGGTTTTGTGAGTCTCGCTCAATGAAGTATCACGTATGCTAATGGAGACACCTCGCAACTGTGCTCCCGGCGTGTGTGTCTTTAATTTTATGGAATTCATTCATTCAGCACATATTTGTGGAGCAGACACCACGTGTCAGACGCTCTTTTGAGTCCTGGGAAAGAGCAGCAAGCAAACACAAACAAGTCTGCACCCGGCGGAGCTGTCTGCCAGGGAGACTAAATACGTGAATGGGCGGGGGTGCGGTATGCGCGTGTGCACATCCGTGAGCGCGTGATCCTGTGAGGAGACGAGAGCCGCGAGTGGGAGGGCTGTGGGCAGGGCAGCCGGCTGGCAGGTGAGTGGCCGCAGAGGGTCGTAGCAGACTCTTGGTG